CCTCCAATCCTGATGCCATGTTCATTTTTACATAATCTAGTTTCTCAGGTTATATGCTCAGCATGCAGAATGAACAAGTATGGTGAAAGAATACAACCATGACTCACATCTCCCTTGATTTTAAACCACTCAGTATCCCCTTGTTCTGTTCCAATGACTGCCTTTTGGTCTATGTTCAAGTTCCTCATGAGCACAATGATGTGCTTTGGAATATCCATTTTTTTTGCCATGTTATCCATAGTTTGTCATGGTTCACACAGTTGATAGACTTTATATAGTCAATAAAGCACATATAAACATTTTGTGATATTGTTCGATAGTGTCTACATTCCATTGAGTCACCTCTCATTGGAATGGGCACAAATATGAATAATTTCCAATAAGTTAGTGAGGTGGCTATCTTCCAAATTTCTTGTCATAGATGAGCGAGTGCCTCCAGTGCTGCATCAATTTGTTGAAAGATTTCAATGTGTATTCCATCAATTCCTGGATCCTTGTTCTTTGCCACTGCCTTCGGTGCACCTTGGACTTCTTCCTTTAATACAATTGACTCTTGATCATATGTTACCTGTTGAAATATTTGAACATTGACTGCTTCTTTTTAGTAAAATGATTCTCTGTTTCCCTTCCATCTTCTTTAGATGCTTTCAATATCATTGAGTATTTTGCCCATAGAATTCTTCATTATTTCAATCTATGCCTTGGTCATTTAAATTCTAGCACCTTTTGCTTTTCCCCTGGGTATTTCTTATTTCTACTTGTTAATAATTAAAGGATTCACTTGCATGTTTATTTTTCAGGATCAATCCAAAAAGCATGTTTCTTAAATATCATGTATCAAATATTGTACAGCTCACTATTATAATGATTTTACATGTATATCTTCATAAATAAAGATTAGCATCTTTATGTTGCATGTATTTTAATAGTGTGTTGTTGTTGTTAGGTGCCATTGAATCAGTTCCAATTCATAGCGACCTTATGCACAGCAGAACGAAACACTGCCCAATCCTGGGCCAACTTCACTACTGTTGCCACGCTTGAGTTCATCGATGCTGC